TTTTTTGTGATTATTCCGGCTGAAGGTGTCTTAAAGGATTTGGAAGGTTCATAAAAACTGTTCAGCGTGTTCATGAACAGGAGCGGAGCCTGAAACCTAATTTGACCGATCTGTCCAAACATCGAGCTCTTTCCATTTGCGTGAAAAAAGAGCCAGTGAGAATTTTCACCAAATGGAACAATAGAAAGTTTCAACAAACAAAATGAGACGGGATGAGTGTTTACTAAATGACTGTATTTAAAAACTTGCTAGTGGAAAGGACTGTTCCATTTCATTTCCCACCTGAGCGACTGCGTATTTCATCAAGGAGCATGGCGTTAAAACCAAATGTTTTAGCAATTTTCTGATTCTTCCGGTAAAAACGAGCACAGAGGAATACCTCTAAAAATATTCCATTATTTCCGAAACATGTTCAGTGGAAAGGCCCGTCTCATTTGGTTGCCCACCGGATAAACTGGTTTTTCATGCAAATGGTAAGCGCCCATCATCTTGCGAAGGAGTGGCTGACGCAGCTCATGACAGCTTGAGTGGATTATTGTTGGGTGGAGTATTTCTCTGTGAAGTATTTTTGACGAGACCACTTGTGATGTGATAAAGCCGTGCCGTATTTGACATACCATGTCAGTCGAAACTAAGATTTAGGAGTAAACGGAGAAATAAAATCATAAAAATTTGTGTTACATAAGATTGGGTATTCAGCCTACAGTCACGCTTATGACTTCCTTTTGGTTTCACATGATGAATTATTTACGAGTTTGTGAGTTTTGTTTAAAAATTTTCGTAATAATTACAAAGTTTGCAATAATTGGCAAATCGATGCTAGCATCGATTATATTTTAAAACTGTCCTTTTAATCATACTGTATGAAGATGTAATGTAAGAAGTAATTCTGATATCTTATAAAAAGCTCTTATAATAAAATTAATTGCAAGGTTCAACAGATCTTTAAACGGAGTTGTAAACCACTTTGTTATTTATGAACAGAACAGTTCTTTGTTGGAACAACAACGTTACACCAACTACGATACTTTATTCTAATAAAGCCAACATCGTCGTTGAAATAAAAACTTCCAAAGATAACACAAAACAAATAACCTGCTTGGTTTGTTCCAGGTGTGGTCTTTGATGACAAGACCATTACAAATTTATCATTACCAAAAAGATTGTAGTCGTTTGAATTGAAAGAAAAAGAACTTTTGAAACATTTTGACGAAATTACGCCTTGGTCAGTCGTATTTAAGATGGTTCATTTCACTAGAAAGAAAAAATTGAATTTCCAAGGCATTTCCCTTTAGTTAATGCAGCAAAGTATCAAATACAAACCATCGAGAAATGTAATGGAGAAAAATTCCCGTACTTAAAGAAATTGAAAAGAATTTGAAATTTACCTGCGCAATTTGGAAATGGTGCCTTACTTTAAAAATGGCGATTTGTCTTTTATAAAAGCAAATATGAGGTTAAACAGTGAGTTGCTTTAAACAATTAGGTTCATATGCCTTTACTGGATATTTTTTCTCTGTACGTTGTTTGCACTTGACTGAAGATAAAACAAATACCTTTCCTCACGCAACCTGTTTATTTATCTTGTTTGAAACAAATGTCACAAAATATGTAAATGTATGCATACTTGAATCATTAAGAAATCAATTCTTTTGCTTGTAAATCTGACCTTTGTTGCTGGAAAATTTCACTCGGAGAAGCATCTGCTGGAATGCGAAGGTACTTACTTAACTTCTACTTTTTTCGAAATTTCTCTTACATCTGACTAGACTATGATTTGCATTTGTAACACTGAATATTTCAGCCCTTTAAATATCTTATTAGACCGTATCTGAGAAAAAACTAACGGAAGTTAAAACATAATGTTTTTAAGAGTTGACAGTAAATCAGGTGAAGAGTGTCGTAGTGTAAGCGGTTTGTGTTATGATAATGAGAAGAAAAAACAAAACAAAACTGCTCCTTCACAATTTAATTATTTCGCACACGAATATTGCAACCTCAGGTTAAAAGTCACCATAGTGTCGAGAAGAATAGCATCACCCTTTTAATCCCTGTAAAGACGATTTACTTTTGTTGTTGTTCACTATAGTAAACAAATTACTGTACTGAACACACTTTCACGGATAAAAGTATCGATGCTCAATTTAAGTAAATATTAGTGCAACTAGCTTACCTACCAAAATACTATAATTTTGCTGTTTTTCTAAATGGAATTAATTGCCACGAGAAGCTAACTCTTCTAGGTTAGAGTGACACAGATCTTTGAACAATTTTGTCTACATCTCTTCTTTTTCCTTACAGTAAGGGCATTTGCCCACAATTTTGTCGAAACTAATACAGTTTGAAATTACTATATCCATGATGGAAAATGTTTAGTCTTGAAAATAAACCCTAATCGATTTGGTGACTATGGGCTATCATTCTAATGAGTAGAACGAGTCTAGTGGCTGACCAACAGATATCTTTTTGGAATTTCAGTTTTAGATGGAATGGTCTTGATGCCGTTTTACGTATTTTACTTTTATTCAACTAAAAGAAGAGTTTTAAGTAAACAATGTTTTACGGTAAAAGGTCGAGGTGGTTTCTTTGTAACAGGTAGCACCTTTCATTCCTTGCGTGGTAATTTCGAAGAAATTGCATACCTCCTGATATGATGAGTCAACCACGTTTAGTGGAAAGTCTTTTAATTTTAATTAAAATTGGAATTAACATCCGTGTAATATTTTTAACGTTCACTTCAAAATCACGATCAATTAATTACTTTTTTGAAATCTTTTTTCCTTACATAGGTATACGAAAAAATGACACCAATGTCGAAGACGTTATTGGGCTTATTGCTTTTCGCTGTTTTGTGTCCGTGGTATTCCTGTGGACTTGCGCCACAGTTTGACAACCGCGAAACGTCAGGGGAGGAGCCATTGCTTGACCCTG